CCCTTCGTCCACACCCCTACCGCCCTCCGCCGACCCCCCAACCCCCCCGTACCCGTCCTCGATTGTTACTACAACCCTACGCAGCACACTACTACACACACACACACACACACACACGCACACACACACACACACACACACACACACACACGAACACCTGGGCTGGAAAAGGATGCAACTCAATCTTAAAGAAGGCACTGGACCCTGACCCAGATAAAGCTCGTGTGGTAACCAGTATTGGGAGGCGCCAGCCAGCAACAGCCCCTCTTCCTCTTAGATTCTCCTGCTGGAGGTTATCTTGTGGAATACTTGGGGCCAGCAGTGTGCGGATTTTTCTTAATCCACACATCATAGCCTTTCTTTCATTCGACCAAAAACACATGTGTTGACTTTGACTCAACTGTGCCCAGGGCTTGTGTGAGGTGCTGGGTGACCACGGCAGAGACCCTGCCCTTGGGGAGCTTAGCACAGGCATCGACTCTGTATCAGCGTCAGGAATGTCTTTACAAATGGAAGTCCACTTTTAAGAAAGGCCAGAGACAGAAAAGAATTCCACACAAAGCACAAATTTTGGTGTCAGCATCCTGCGCTTGAGGAACTTCAGACGTGCCCTTTTACCTTATTGGAGACGGTGAAAAGAACACCAGTAACCATTATGCTACAAAAGAGGTTCTCCACACTGGTCCTTTAAATGTTGGAGGGCCTCAAGGAGCTTTTGTTTATATAGATTATAACATTTACAGAAATTAAAACTGAGAATTTAAAAAATATTTGTTAATTTATAATAAATCTATTATGTTAAATAATAGCATATTTTAATGAAAATAATTATTTTTTCCAAATAAAACTAAGTAATGAGAAGAGTTGTACTGTTTTACCGTTTTGCAAATCTCCCAGTGTCCGGTTTAAACAGATGACTGTTGGATTCTGTATTTGCTTCTGCTTTCAATCTGTTGTGATATCACTTGCCATGTAGTTTTTGGGAAACTCCGTTTTACATTTGTGAGAAAGTGAGAGTGAAAAGGGCAGATAACATCTTAGTGTCATATGAAAATAGTTTTGACCCCAGGGATCCCCTTGAAAACTGATCTAAAAAAACCAGTCACCTAAAGGGTCTCATGGTTGATAAACTGTGGAATCGCCGCTAGATGGCAGCAGAGATCAGCTAAACGCACAGCAAGTCCCGGTTTCTGGTGACCTTTGCCCAGTGGTGAGAACATCTGGGCCCTGTGACACTTCTCTTCCTGTTTTCTGGGTCTCACTCCTCTCTGTTGTTGTCGTTGTCCTTTTACTTCCCTGTGGTGGAATAAACTTCAGACTAGGGAGACCTTCGCCTTGGATTTGAGTTCCTTGCGTTCCAATATTACCTGCGTGATCTTGGCAAGATTTGGCCCCTCAGGGCCTCAGTTTCCTCATCTGTAAAATAGCCACACTGAGTGGGCCTTCCTTACTTACCTTACAGGGCTTCAGGAAGAATCTAGTGCTAAAGTGGTTTTGTAAACTGAAGCGTAAAACATAGGGGTTAGAGGAAGGTGAGGGGGCACTAAGTGAGTGCTCTTGTTTCTGGTTTCAGCCTGTTTCTGGTTTCAGCCTGCGTTCCCCCAAGTCTGGGTTGTTAGCATTTTTCAGGAGGTGACACAGGGTAGCTGCAGCAGTGGTCCCTGGACCTTGTCTCTGCCTGGAAAACACTGACTGCTGGAGATGCTTGGCTCCTAGGTCTTTGGATTTACAAGTGGACATCTGACATGCATGCTTGGGTTGGGTGGATGCAGACCCTAAACTGACCTTTGTGATGCCCAGGATGTCTGATGAGTCATTGATTCAAGTCCTCCAGGGTTCTGACTCCCATTGCACCTCTCTAACAAGCTGACCTCAAACAAGATTCCAGGAAACATCTGGTCCAGCAGAGTAGCCAGCCCATGAGCACCTTGGAGCCAGAAAAACCAGCCAGAAGATGTCTGCTTCCCACCTCTGGCTGAGGGTGGGGAGGGGCCAGTGTGCTCTGGGCTCAGTCACCCCTGCCAGTGACAAGACACACCCCCAGCTGCTTATGCCTCCTGCCTCCCAGCAGCACAGACCAGGTCTCTCCCTCCACATCTGTAGGTTATGAAGATGCCACTGCATCTTACTCGCCAGTGTGCTGAGCTGAGTACCTGGCGCTAATTCCATACTTCACTGGTGTTTGCCCATTGATTCAGCCACATCTTAGGTGTGCAAAAGGTAAAAGAAGCTTTTCTTTTTTTTAATTAAGTTTAGTTTTTTCCAAGCCTCTATTCTATCTGATGGCAGAAAAAGTAATTTTGCCCTTTCAGATGTAAAACTCAGAAATTCCAAGTTAAATGCAGTTAGTTCAGGATTTTCTCCTCTTCCCTTTCCTGGGGTGACTTAGAGTTCAGGATTTTCTCCTTCTCTTCCCTTTCCTGGGGTGACTTAGGTGCTTGGGGTTTGGAGTATAGGGAGAGGCTCTGGCTCTCAGGAGATGCTCCATCCTGGGCTGGAGTTCTTCCTGTCTGTTCCCAGGGCATGGCCTTCTCTGCAGGTGGCTTCTGTGGGAGCATCTTCTTTCCCATTTGGTCCTGATGACTTGGTCCCTGCATGCCATATCTGCCAGCCCCGAGGCCTTCTGGCCTTGACGTGCTCCGTGACACGTCCACACCCCTCTTTGTCCTGTGGGAAAAGCCTTGGCTTCCCCAGTGGAACGACTCAGGGGCCTGAGACAGGCCCACCTTCCTGGGGCTCCCTGTCCACACTGTGTATTGAGTGGCAGGAGGCAATTTCTCTTCAGATTGTCATCTCCAGGGCACACAGGAGATTTGGCTTAGGAACCTCTCTTCTCAGGTGCTCAGCCCTCCCTGGAGTTCTGCCACCACCCCTGGAAGCTCAGCTGGAGGCCGGGCACTCACCAGTGTCTGCTACCATCTCTCTTCTCTAACTTCCTTCCACAGTCTGTAGAGTTGTCACTTCCTCCCCCTAGAGCTGGGAGCTTTACCTTTGGAAATTCATAAGCCAAGA